GCCTGGAAGGTGGTCATGCACCTTTATTAGTTTTGTGTTCCTCCCCTTTCCTCCCTCCCTTGACAGTGTCCCGCTACTGCCAATCCCTTTCTTGTATTTTCAAGCTTGCTTTCTTTTTATTTCTATTGGCCTTATACATTTTAAATTTTTTTAATTTAAACCATTCTATGTCATTTTATTTTAAGTACATCCCTCGAAAACAACAGGTATATATTTTCCTTTTGGTTTATTCAAATTGAATGTTTGGCAATTTAAAGGAGGCTTCCAGTCCATTTATCCTTATTATAAACCCTGATGCATGTTAATCTTAACATCTTTTTTGCTTTCTTGTTGCTATTTCCATTTATTTAATTCTGACTTTTACGAAATGATCATGTTGATGTTGCTCCTTTTTTTAAAAAAAGAATCTTCAAATATAGACACATACCCACAAAATACACACAGTATAATTCTGTTTACATAAATTTCAAAATAGGCAAAGCTAAACTATTCTTTAGAGCTGCCTACTGAGGTAGTAGAACTATGAACAATAAAAACAAAAATATCCTGGGCAACAAGCTGCAAGCTGGGTAGTGGGAATACTTTGGGAAGAACCTTGACGATTTCTCAGGTGGTGGCAATGAAGGTGGTTGCCTTAAATGCCAGTTTTATCATCATCCATTCAACTCTACATTTATGTTTCAAAAAATATTTAGTGATTTGATAATTTTAAATCTTATTTCTGTAAAATATTTGACTTTCTGTTACATGATTGTCATGAAGAATTTCATGATTATCATGACGAACCTAGTCTTCAAACAAGATATGACTTTGTCATACTTTTATTCTCCACCACCCAAGACTTGCAATTTAAACAAATCAGAAAATTTACTTTTAACTTGTCATAAAATTTTATTTGATAGTTTGTTTATCATAATAAAAGTTAAATATAATGTGACTGCTTAGTTAGAGACCAGAATTTTTTTCATTGTAAAGCAACCTTAGTGGAAAATATTTTCCATGCAATAACTCTTGCATTGGGTAGCATGGGTGCTTTATTTGTTTTAAAAAAAAAAATCAGCTCACAAAAAAGGCAGTGAGCAGCAAAGGTGAGAAGAATGTTTAGGGTGATTATAGTCTTAGAAGTGCTGAAAAAGATGATCACTCCTCTTGAAAAAAGCTAAATGTAAGTAATACTGGACTTATTTAGTGATATTTACTATTGGATTTTTTTCCTTGGAAAAAACTTGTTGCTGGGGGTGTGAAATTCTACAGCTCTAGTTTCATTTTTTTCTCAGTGAAAATTGGTATTGTAATTGATTTTTAACACACACTTTCTTAGTATTCAACAATTGCATTATAATATAGACAATTCAAAAAATGGTCACCCTGATTCAATACTTTTTTCATTAATTCATTGTGTACTATTGAATGCCAAATATGTACCAGGTATTAGCTTATATCAATGAACAAATCAGATAAAAATCCATCCTGCACAGCTTATGTTGAAGGAGTGGAGGACATATAAAAATAGTATGCATAGTGAATAAAAGCATTCTTCTTTGGCTTCTTCCACCATTTTGATTAAGGTCATAGTGACTCTTTTTTGGTCAGTGTCACTCTGTCACCCAGTCTGGAGTACAGTGGCACAGTCATGACTACGACAGCCTCAAAGTTCAGGGCTCAGGTGATCCTTCACCTCAGCATTCCAAGTAGCTGGGACTACAGGCGCACACCACTGTGCCCAGCTAATTTTTTGATTTATTGTAGAGACAAGGTTTTGCCATGTTTCTCAGTCTGGTCTCAAACTCCTGGGCCCAGGCAGTCCTCTCGCCTCAGCCTCCCAACGGGCTGTGATTATAGGCATGAGCCATCGTACCTGGCCTCTTCTTGCATTTCTTAGACTTCATTTTATGTAATCTCTTCTGAGGTGATCAGTAAGGCCAACTGTCACTCTTCCCTTTTAATAAATTCTTACTTTCTTACCTTCTGAGACTATTATAGCCTGATTATTTTTTCTTTTCAATATTCTTTTCTTTTTCCTTCATGAGTTTCTTTAGGTAAACTCTCCTGCTCTTTAGCTGATTACCACTGAAGCAAAGGTGTTTCAACAAGGAACAGCACTGCCACTTAGTACACTTGTGGCTTCCTTGGAAAGAATTGCATGTAAAAGACTAGAGCAAGTCTATGCTCACAGTTTAGGAATAACAGACATTTGGAAAATGGTATGACATAGAAACAATTTAAAGGGTCTTTCTATTTAGGTATTATATTTAAAGATTTATTTCAGTGGATACGAAGTAAGCTTGGACTAAAAATTCTTTGCACATTGGTGGTGCCTTTTGTTATATTTTTATAGTAATCTGGGTTCTGTGTAATGTTTTATAGATACACGTTCATTCAGATGTAAAAGAATTCCTTTGAAATATGCATATATAGTAAATGAACATTAGGTCAGAGTGTAAAGTCTTGTTAATTGTTTCCTCTGCCCAAGTTTATTTTCTAGTTTAAGCAGAATGACAGGAGTCAGCTGTGATCATGTCACAGACCTGTGGTCACATCACGAACCTGTCGTTGGACACAGTGTGCCAATTCTGTCCTGCAAACATCTCTTGTAGTCATAGTATTATTATTATTTTTTTTGAGTTGGAGTCTCACTTTGTTGCCCAGGGTGGAGTAGTACAGTGGCACGCTCATGGTCACCCCAGAGTCGACAGTAGTACAGTGGCACGCTCATGGTCACCCCAGAGGTGAGGCAGTCTTTCCTACCTCTTTTCCTCTCTCAATTTCCCTTGCACTTCCTTTTCCTTTCCCTTCCCATTTCTTCCCCTTCCTTTCCCCTTCCTCTCTACTCCTATCTCTTCCCCTTTCCTGCCCTTCCCTCCCCTTCCATTCCCCCTTCTCCCTCTCCAACGCTCCTCTTCTTTCCTTCCTGCTCTCTTTTCATTTCTTATTTTTTCTTTATTTTCCTCACGCCCCACTCCCTAATCACCCAACTTCGTGTATTCACTAAACTGGTTTAGGACTTTCCTTGAGGCCAGATTATTCCTCCTTCTTTCCCTCTTTCATCTTAGTTTGTAGGTCATTGTGTTGAGTTCTTATAACATTGGCCAGAATGGTCCTGCCAAAATTCAGGTGAGGAATGGATGGAACTAGTTGGAAGGCAGAGGGTTCTTCTCACATGTATTCCAACAAAGGCTTTCCAGAGTTCCATACATTGAAGAATTGGGTGCTGGTCCAAGTATTATAAACGTAGTCCTTTCATTCTCATTTGGAGATTATTTCTTGCCTATTGCTCCACAGGTGATAATTGCTAGTCCAGGGTTCTAGCATTCTTGAACCCAATCCCATTAAATTCCTGCAAAATCTTACCTAGTTCTTAACAGTGGAATGTTTCAACTTGGTTCCAAGAATCCCAGAGGAAGATTGGGGGAGGTCAGCCTGGAGGTGTTGAGAGAAGCTCTTTACTGTATTCTGATTCCATATTATCCTTCAAACTTATACTTAGTGCCTCTGCCGTGTGGGGAAAGCCCAGGTGGAGATTGAGAACAGACTTGTCATGGCACCTCCCTCTCTTATTTTGTTACCCTGAGAATGCCATTCCTCCCACCAAGGAGAAGTGTGATTGCTTGCATATGCCATCTGCTTACAAACCCCTGTGAGCTGAAATTCTCCCCCAAAAGGTTTATGTAAGCCCCCTGTGAACTCAAACTACTATGTTTTGCTCAGCTCAAGTAAACATCGAGAAAGTATCTAAGCATTTGAACTTATAATAATATATTTATCCCAACACATGAGGCCACTCGTCATTCGTGTATGTGTAATATATAATTGCAGCATGCAGCAAACAAACAGCTCTCGATCAGAGAAGTCTCTGGATCCCACGGGACACTAATCATCTACCAAAAATAGAGATGGTTGGGGAAAATAACTTATAATTGCATTGGCAATCCAGTATTAAAGTATAATTTCATGTTGTTTTCATTTTCAGAAAATAAATAATATAAATCCGATTTGAAAAAATTGCTCATTGCATTTAGTAGCAGACTCAAACATGAAATCTAAAATTGAGTATGTATTCATATCTTACTAAGTGTACATTTAAAAAATCTAGGAAAAATGCACACACACATATGTATATGAACTTATATACTTAACTTTATAAATAACATTTGGTTTATGCTCCTTACAAAATTTAAATTATGCTCTTTAAAAAATATAAATCTACACACTTAATTTGTGAATAAAATTATGACTATAGTATACATAATTTTCTTAATGATTTAAAAATATTTATATTTTAGAGACCTAGTTTTGCTATACTTTCTCAAGATGGAGGAATTACAAATTAACTCTATTTGCATATATGAAGCATGGGATTGCAGCTCAACCAGCAAGCTGAGCCTGAAATTACATAATATTAACTGAACCTGAAATTATTTGAACCAAAGAATTTACGTTAATAAAAATTATATAGGCTTAATCAAAGCAGAATAGAAATCATATTATAGGAAAGAGAAAATAAAAGGAGTTTAAATTAATAAAGATGACCAAATGCCAATTTGTAAATGTTCTGTCCATGTTTCTCTTTGTCACTCTTTCACTAAAATTTGTTCATGAAATGTGTCAAGGCTGTAGATGATGAGGAATTAACCTCTCATCTCTAAAATATTATCCATGTAAATCTCATTTAAAACATACACCTAATGACGAGTTGTGAAGATGAGCAAAAAAATAAAAATAAAAAAAATAAATAAATAAGACTTTTTTTTCCCACCACAACAGAATAAAAGGAATCATGCAAAATTAAAATAGTAACTATAGTAATAAATAATTAGAAATAGAACCATCTTTTTCACTTGTAATAAGGAATCAAGAGGGCCCTCCAAGGTTTTCATGGAAGTAAGACATTTAGTCTGGACATAGTCAGCAATAAGTCTCTTGACTCTAACATATCACTGCAGAGGTTTATTGTGACTTTTGGTGCTAGGGCATACTGAATGGAAGGAAGGAGTCCTTACCTTTAACAATGTATAAGGCAGACTTTCTAGTTGCTGAGATGAACTATTAAGAAAAAATTCTGCTGAAGCATCCACCTGTAGCAGGGGGTGAAATCCAGTTGACCCATAGGTTAAGGGAGAGATGCAACGATGACTCCAAGAGTTTTTCTATCAGTAAAAATAAAAAGCAACAATTTTGGGCATAAGTTGCACAGTATATTGGTTTGGTACACTAGTCAAAAGAAAAATAGACTCCCAAGAGTGTTGTCTTTTGAATTTAGAGTTAGCTTGTCAACTGGCAGCGGCAGCGACTATAAGCAGTAGGTTTTATTGATGAACTGAGCAGGACTTGCAATGACTGGTACCTTTGGAAGGTGGGTTACTAAAATGAGCATTGCTTTATGGGTGACAATAAATCAGTTAGTCTATAGTTAAATATAGAAAATATAGAGGAAACCCCACAGAAGTTCAATAGGGGTAGAGAAAAATCTAAGACAGCTAGTTGTGTGGGTTTTATATAACATGTAACCTTTTAAAATAAAGTGATCTGCATTGGCTCATGTAGACTGTGGGAAGACTTGGCGAGGAACACTTTTGGGTATATTCAAGTCTGTATAAATGACTCCCAATGTGTCATCTGAAAGCTGTTAGGATTGAAAAAGGCACTGGAACCAATTCTTTCTTTTGTCTCCAGGAGGATTCGAACAGCCCACTCTCCTGGACTCAGAGAGAAGTCTTTTTCACACCTCTTCCAAAGACACTGGTGCCGGAAGCGTGCTCTAGGCCATATGTAAGAAGCAGTTAGTGCAAAGACAGCTTTGCCCATGCATTCCCACTGGCTTTTAAAGGGCAGAGGTAAATGTCAACCGTATACCTGATCATACTTTGTAGGTTTCTTTTGCTCATTTTTGTGCCACATTTGGGGATTATCCTCATGGAGGTTAAGGAAATTAGATGAAGCAGAGCCTTGTTACTACATAGGGAATGATATCTCTGGATTTGAATTTCACAAAATAGTATCTTAAATGGGGATAAAATTACTCTAAAGTGCAAATGAAATAATAAAAATATTTTAAAACTTGTAAAGTGCTAAATATAAGCTATTATGTAGCTGATGTAAAAACTCAGCTCTGAAAAGAAATTAGAACCACACTGCATTGTGAAATGAGTCCTGAATCCAACCACTAAAATTCTGCATATTCTAGCTTTATAGATCAGCTGCATCCCCATCATGTAAGAATCATTGTATTCCAAGACATGGGCCTGTGTTTGTGGCCATTCAGGGACTGAGAACTTTATAGAATTCTTACACCTTTCATTTAATATGCCATCTTGGAGGCTCTACCCCAGGGCCACCAAATCTCATACAAACAAAAATTATTTGGTATGGCTCTCTGAGCCCCATGCAGGCAGCCCAAATTTGAATGGTACTGCACTGAAAACAGAGTTGCAAAAAAGGAGCAAGAGGCTACTGGGAAAAACGGGTCCTAAGTCATTTAAGACTTTGAAGAATATTACCACTCACATAGAGCTATCTTAGAAAATAGGGAAGCAAACACAATCAATCCTGAGATTAGCACTCAGGTGTTTATGCTCCTCGCAGCTGAGTCCAAGAAGCGAGATGCTGCATTTCCACCTGCAGGACACTCTGGGTAGTAGTCTGGAGGTGACAACAATCTGAAAAGATGAGTATTTCATCAAGTTGATATGATTATTTCCACATTAGATGTTTCACGAAATGTATATATTTCTAGTTTCTTTTCTATAATGTCAGAGTTTTGTGCTATTTTACCTTTGTAACTTTTCTCTCACACTTTACCTATATGATATCCACTTGTGTACCTAATCCTGAATTGTACCCCACATCTTTAAAATAAAATATAAAAGAAAAAAATTTCTCCCATTGACTATACAATAATAAGATTTAGAAAAAAAATTTACACTAAAAGCAAACACAGTTTAAAGGCCTTTGTTCACATGAATTTATTTTTCATATAAAGTTTATATGAGGGGGACCCCAAATATCTCAGAATTTATTTATGAAAAAATTGTGTAGTTATTCTTACTTGTACTCTCCATTTGATGCAACACACCTATCGAGATGCTTTTTCCAATGCTTAAGACAGTTTTTGAATTTGTCAGTTTTGCTGCCTTTTATTGCTTCTGCCACTTTTTGTTTCACCCCTTCCACATCAGCAACATGTTTCCCTTTGAGAACTTTTTTCATCCAGGGAAACAAAAAAACAGTCTCTTGGGGTGAGATAGATAGGGTGAATAAGGAGGGTGGGCATGCAGGTCATTCTGATTTTTGTCAAAAACTGCTGAACACTCAGTGTGGTGTGGTAGGTTGTTTGTGTAAATTGTCCATCATGAAATGGGCAAATGTGTTGAAAGAATCTCCAAAAAAAATGGACTGAAGCTGAACACAGCCTCTCACGACACTCATGCAGATGGGTTACTAGAACATTTACTTAGGAGAAGAAACCTATACTAAAAGATACCCACCCTCCAAAACATAATTTCAGCTTTTTTGATGTCCTCCCATATATAACACATTATGTATATATATTTATATATATTTATAAATATTATATAAAGGTTACATACTCAGTTTAAGCATTTTTTTGTGCTTTCATCAACACTGAGTATTATATTTAAAATACACATTTAATAGGTCAAAATGCTACTTAAATTTTGTTTTCATTTCACCTATTTAAGTATTGAATTAAATATATTTAGATGTTTATTTTATTTATTTATTTTTTATTTAAAATTGTGGGTACAATTCAGGGCTAGGTATACAAATATTCATAATGCAGTTACCCTTATTGGTGAGGTGTGCCCCCTAGATGTTTGTTTGTTTATTTATTTATTTATTTATTTGAGTTGGAGTCTCACTCTGTCGCCCAG